AATATAAAGGCTAATTTTATATATCAAAGTAATATTAATTAAAATTAATTACTTGTTAGTTTTTATATTTATAAATAAAATGTTTTATATTTCTTATAATTTATGTCGTATATTGATGGTTATAAATTTATTTTACTATTTATTTATTTATTTATGTTTATGAGGCATATATTGATTTATTTATTTTGTATTGATTTATTTGATTATTTATTTTATGTTAATATTATATATAATAATATCAATCTAATAGAAAGCTCAGAAGAGCGATTATATTATTATCTAAAGAGATAGATTTTGAAGGCTCTAGAAGAGTCATTATATCATCACTTGAAGAGACAAATTTTTGAAGCTCTAGAAAGAGTGAATAAATTATTACTTGAAGAGAAAATTTTTAAAGGCTCTAGAAGAGTCGATATATTATTACTTGAAGTGACTAATTTAAAGGCTCCGGAAGAGCAAATATGTTATTATATGAAAGGATAAATTTATTACGAATGATGTACTATTCTCTTCCAAGTCTCATAGAAATTGGTTGAGTTTTAAAGATATTCATCTAAATTGATATTATATCAAGATAGCAAATGCGAATTCTTATATGTTATAATCATTATATCGGGTAGAAAATATCTATAAAAAAATTTATCTGTTTTCTCTTTTATTCTTTGTTACAAACATTGAAATGATTGAAACCAATATTATAGTAAACCGAAGTTTACTAATTCAAATACTTTTACTATGTGACATAACCGGTTGTGTTATCTTGGGTCTTTCATGATGCGAAAAAATTATTAAAAAAATTATATGAATATCTATTGAAGAGCCGGAAGATTCTTCAATTTAATGAACTTTCATGTGCTCGCATGTTGCCAAGGTAAATTGATGATTAAGCCATCATCAAGTAAAATTTAGATTGAATCTCCAGTATTTTAATATGTATTCAAGGTGATGTATGTGGATCAATTCATCCACCATGTGGACCATTTAAATATTTTATGATTTTGATAAATGCATCAACAAGATGGTCACATATATACTTATTATCTACTCGAAACTCGACGTTTTCGAGATTGCTAGTAAATAATTTGCTTTCAAGCATAATTTTTAAATTATGCCATTAAAATAAATCACCTTGATAATGCTGATGAATTTATTTCTCAAGCATTAAATTATTATTGATTGGCTATTAAAATAAAGGTTGAACATCTTGTTGCTCATGTTCATACTAAAAAAGGTTTAACAAAATCATTTATCAAAAGACTCCAATTGATAGCTAAACCATTATTTAAAAATAAAACTCTTTGTTTATGTTTGGGGATGTGCAATCTTACATGCGGCAACACTTATTCGCATATGACCTATAAGTTATCGAAATTCTCTCATCTTCGATTAATTAATGGTCATGAGCTAATTATTTCTTATTTAAGAATTTTTGGCATTGCGGTGTATATCCTTAGTACTCCTCTATAATGAAATAAAATGAGCACTTAAAAGAGATTGGAAATATATGAATCCTCTTCGATAATTCAATCTCTTGATTCATGAACAAGAGGAAATTTTTACGGCTCGATTTATCGACTTGTCATTTTGATGAAATAGTTTTTTTCAACATTAGGGGGAGAGAATAAGCAAAGTAAACGAGTTGGAAATGTTGAAAAAAAAAGATTACATGGAGTACTCTATCTTATATCACCTTAATTCTTGTAGAAGTAATGTGAACTAGAAGTTTAAAAGACAATTCATTTATAAGGTATTGAAACCAATCGTCGGATGCATTCTTAGATCTTAAATGAGTAACTAAAATACATATCCTCGTCGAGAATGCTCCTATTATAATTAATGTCTCGGAAGGATAATCTATTAATATTATAGCTAACGAATTTAAAGCACGCCCGAAGCGTGGAAGACCGATCGGTTCTAAAGATAAAATTTCCTAAAAGAAAAGGGCAAGATGAAAATATTCGCAAAATGGTCTAATATATTTCGATAATAGGCTTCCGGAAGAAGTCCAAATACTTGAGAAAAATCAAGAGATTTTGATAAATTATATCAATGCGAGGAGAAAATAGGACCAAAAAGAAACATCTATTGATAAGATTTTTGCATATAATATTACAATTGATATTATGGATGAAAATAATGATCCTAAGCCTAAATTATTGAAGAATATCAACATAAAGATGATTAGCCTAAACAAAAAGAGCAATGTAGGCAGAATTATGTTCTCTTATAAAAGAGTAGTTTTTTGAATCCATAGCTAAAACACTCGAAGATGTTAAGCTAGTGAGATATAAATATGTATTTATGCAAAAATGAAATAAGAAAGATGAGATTATAATATATAAAGCAAAACTTTTAACACAAAAGTTTTCGTAAAGAATTGACATTAACTATGAGGAGACATATTCTCCTATAGTGGATGTAATTGTCTTTTGTTATCTCATTAGCTTGAAAAAATATATGAAAAAAATTCAAATGCATGCATTTAATGAATATGATCACGGTTTATTTATTCATTTGAAATGATATCGGTATGAAAGTCCTAGAAGGACTTAACATGCCATAAGCATGTAATACATATTTTTGAGAAAAAAATTCAATTAAATTATAGAGATCTCTATTAGGATTATTTTAGTATTTTTTTATTATTTTGGATTTTAGAAATTCAATTTATACTTTTTATATTTTATTTTTATATCTGCTTGTTTATTACTAACCCGTGTGCATGTGATATAATCACTTCAATGATTATTTATTGAAAGAAAGTTATAAAAAATAATCCTATTTGTTCATATGTTTTTATTTGAAAAGGGGTTTGTTTTATATGTTGATAACTTAAATATTATTGGAACTCCCGAAGAGATTACAAGTGTCATAAATTACCTAAAAAGAGAATTTGATGTGAATATCTTAAGAAAATAAAATGTTATCTCGACTCCGAGTTCGAGCACTCGAGAAAATGAGATTTTCATTTATCGGTCAATTTATATCGAAAAAGGTTCTACAATGATTCTATATAGAGATCATTCATTGAGTAGCCCAATGGTAGTTCATTCACTTGATATCCAAAAGGACCACTTTTTAACCTTGAGAAGATAACAAAAAACTACTTGGTCCCGAAGTATCATATTTTAGTGCCACCGGTGCATTGATGTATCTTGCTAATAATACTCGACTTAATATAGTCTTTTCTATAAATTTATTAGCAAGATATAGTTCTACTCTAACACGGAGACATTGGAATAGAATTAAACATATATTACGTTATCTCCGAGGAACAAGTGATATGGGCTTATATTACTCTAACAAATCAAAGAATGGATTAATTGGTTATGCGGATGCGGGTTATTTATCCGATCCACACAAAGCTCGATCTCAAGCTGGTTATGTATTTACATATGGAGATACGAGCTATATCATGGCGTTCTATGAAACAAACTATAGCTGCCACATCTTCAAACCATGTAGAAATACTAGCAATTCATGAGGCAAGTCGAGAATATATTTGGTTAAGATCAATGACCCATAATATTCAAGAGACATGCGGTTTATCCACTAACAAGGAAGTTCCAACGAGTCTTGTATGAAGACAATACTGCCAGCGATAGCTCAATTAAAGGAATGATACATCAAAGGTGACAAAACGAAACATATATCACCAAAATTATTTTTCATACATGATCTTCAACGAAATGGTGATATTAATTTTCAACAAATTTGTTCAAGTGACAATCCAACGGATTTGTTCACTAAGGCATTACCTACCACAACTTTTGAGAAGATGATTCACAAGATTAGAATACGTCGTCTTAGAGATCTTAAATAATATCTTCGACAGGGGAGACCAAAATGGGTATTAATGTGTGCAAGGAATAATGTACTCTTTTTCCTTCATTAGGATTTTTTTCCACTGGGTTTTTTCCTAGTAAGGTTTTAACGATGCATATTCCTTATATAATGGACATTCGAGGGGAGTGTTATAAAATAATGAATGTCCATATGAATGTCCATCTACTTTTCATATCCCCACTACTCATAATCCTTAATGTGATTCAATTCACCATTCAATTTGAGAAATTGAAAGGGTGATGCAATTGATGTACTTTTAATTATTCATAGTCCCTTCCAATTCTCATCTCAATTTTGAGGCCTATAAATAGGCTTGATTGTTCATTTGTTGATGTACAAGTTTCCTAGAGAGAATAAGAGAAGCTTTGAAGTTCTTATCATTTATATTCACATTATAGTGATTTCATTTTCTTGTCATCATTTTCTTTAATTCTCCTATTATTTCTATTTATTTTATAAAAAAACCTATGAATTATATAGATTTTTTTTTCTTTTTTAAGCGTTGGTTATTGCTACATCTGCTACATGCAACATGAATTCTTCTTATTATTATTTTTTAAAAAAGTAATTATCTGTTCCTACTTATTAAAATTGGATCAAACAACAAGAGGTTAGTAACACGTAAACATTCATGATTAAATTAAAAATGTAATTTTCTGATATTAAAGGTTCAATAGTTTTAATTGATGATATTGATACATTTAAGACAATTTATTTCATATATCAATAAAACATGTATGATAATTTCAAACTCAAACTCTATATTTGTATTTACAGTAAAAGGACTGTTATTCTATACTATTAAAACTGCCACATTCCAAATGAGGTGCGCAACAACTTAATTAACCTTTTCTGTTTTATTATTATTATTTTGCATTCAATTTCAATGCATTCTTGGACACAATATTTGAAGGGGGAAAAAAAAACCCTACCTTTCCCTTGCTTCTATCCTTCTATCGCAGCCCAGAGCAGCCCGTTCTGGGCTGGGCTAGACTCAATCGGGTCAGCAAGATATCACCCGAACCAGACTCTTTTTAAATCGTTATAAAATAAAAAATAAAAAATAAAAATTCTTTACTTCCAGTAAAAGCCAGGGAATTCGAGCTTAAAAACTAAAACCAGAGAGAGCTAGGGACAGAGAGAGATAGAGAGAGATGGATCCAAAGCTCACAGAAGTATCGCAGCTATTCGAGCGATTCAAAGCGGCATGTACGAGAGAAGATTTCGATACTTCGACGAATCTGCTTTCTCAGCTCAAGGTAACAAAAAAATCTTCACACCTGAAAACCCTAACTTTTTAAACTCATTTTCAGCTTAATTCAAATCTTTTTTTTTTATGGTTTAATTATGGTTCATTAGATTAGCATTAGCTTTCATTGCTATTGATTTTGATTTTCTTCTTGCAGGTTTTGTTGACAGGATTTCGAAGCTTGCCGCCGTTGTTTGAAGGTACACGTAATGCTGTTCAAGAATTAACAATAGCAAGTAAGATTGTGGTTTTTTTTTTTTTTTTTTTTTTTTTTGTTAGGGTTTCATACTTTTGGATTAAAGGTTATAAGATTGTTTTTGACGCTTGGTATTTATTTATTTATGTTTTTTCAGGGGATATATATGAACATGCTGTTCTTTTGAGTGTGAAGATTGGGGATCAGGATGCCTTCGAAAGGGATTTCTTTCAGTTGAAGCCTTATTATACTGATGCTAGGTAATTTTTCGATTGGTTTCGGTTTTTGAGGAATCATGCGTGCGTGTTTAGTTTTGTATTTGGGGAAGTGATTTTAGTATAAAATGCGTGACATAAACTGTATGCTTCGTCAATTATATTTCCGTACTTTGGTGGAATGGTGACTTTAATTTCATACTGAGTCTAATCTTAGATATTCAGCATTTCATTGTTTCATCAACTTAAAAAATTAATTTTACTGTTGGCAGTGTGTATTATAGTTACATGTAGGTTTCAGATGTAGTTATTCTAAATGTGATAGGATATTTAGCTCTTTACTCAACTTTTCAGTTTGTACAACCTTGGTAAAACCACTTTTGAGTTATGTTTCACAAGGTTCATAACAAATATGCTCTCCTAAACAGCTTGTTTGATGTTTTGAGTTTTTTTCAAAGGTTTTGCTGTTATTGTGAACTCGATTGATTGCCCTTTGGTATGACTTTCCCATTTCAGAATAGAAAAGAAAATATGGTTTGTCTTTATAGTTGTGCATTTGGTTCTTTAAGTTTTTGGCCTTTCAATAACTGATTTCTGTTTTTTTATGTGTTAGAAAATACTAAGATCTTAACTCAAGAAATCATTAAAGTGAAGGACAATGTAGTCTGCACAAAGGAAAATTTGCTGTTTTGTCCCCTATATTAGAGCTTGATATTCACGATTTCGTTTTTGATGGAGCAGTAGCCGTCTTGCTCAATCTCCTCAGGAGCATATGATCTTGGGTCTCAACCTCTTGAGACTCTTAGTCCAAAACAGAATTGCTGAATTCCATACTGAATTGGAATTGCTCCCTACTGGTGCTTTGGAGAATCCTTGCATCACACATGCTGTGGAGTTGGAGCAGTCTTTCATGGAAGGGGCTTACAATCGTGTGTTATCTGCAAAACAGAATGTGCCATACAAGACTTATGATTATTTTATGGATCTCTTGGCGAAGACTGTGAGGTAATTTCTCCATACTCTATAATAATAGCCATTTACCGTTGTTAGTCAATGAGAATTCATTCCTGGAAGTTTTCTATTTATGGGTAATATACACCACTGCACCCGAAGGGGTAGGAATATAGGATAGATAGAATTGTCCATTCAAAGGGTACAGTCATCCTTGTTGTGGTCAAAATGGTTGGTTCCAGCTTCCTGTTAGACTAGACTTGGGCTTAATTAATGTCATTTTAGGTGCTGTTAAGTTCATTGTTTTCAAGGTGCATGTATTTGTTCCATCCATTGCTATCAATACAGCCACAGTTTCTTATGGAAACTTGTTCATTTGCATGAAGTCTTAATGATGGTTTTGATTTGTTATGCCTCTTTTAAAGTGACATCTTAATCAATTGATGTAGTTTTTCTAATAATGAGATCCATTACCATAAAAAAAAATTTCATGGTCTTTTTTTCCAGTTTGATTTATCTAATAGTTTTGTGGTTTGATGGAGTATGTAATCCATTTTTTTAAGTTTCCGTGATAGAGTTTTGCACTGTGGCTCCTTGGTTTTTTAGGTCACACATAGTTCCGAGTTTGAATAGAGGGGATTTTTGTTCATTTTAACCACATTGCTGTAGACTTAAAACTCATCTTGCAAATATACTTTGAAAAATTGTCTTTAGAATTCCTGGTTGAAAGCTACAGACTACTGTTCACCCCATCATTCTTTATGAATGGATTAGTACATAGTGTACATTTTCCTTTTTTGTTCTTATTAGCTGATTTCTATTGTATCACCCACAGGGATGAAATAGCTGGATGCAGTGAGAAGGCATATGACTATCTTTCAATAAGTGATGCCCGCCAAATGTTGCTCTTCTCTTCTGATAATGAACTTTTGGAGTACATCAAGGAGGTACTGGAATATAGTTTAAATTCTCTTGCGCTGATTTTCTTATGCATTCGAGCTTTTGGCATTTGAGCAATTCATATTTTTGATTGATTAAAAATTATATGAACTTAGATATAAAAAAAAAAAAAATGCATTCAGCACTGCTTCAGAGCTTGTAACCAGCCCTGGGTTTAGCTCCCCAAGTGATGTTACAAGCTTCCATAGTTTAGCAACAGTTTGTAGGGGAGGGGCTGCTTGACGTATGACTTGGGGTATTTGACAAACTGAAGCAAGTTGTTCAGATTGTTTTTCAACTCCTTTGGTGAATTTTGGACCAAACATGGACAACTTCTGGACATCTTATTTTTTTTTCCTTTTTACAGATTTAGTTGCACAATTAACATGAACATGATGTGTTCTGTTGCTTAATGCAGGAGCATCCTGAATGGGAGATAAAGGATGGCTGTGTATTTTTCCAGAAGGCGAAAGAATCTGCTCCCTGCAAGGAGATACCATCTCTACAACTCATCAACCAGACATTGAGTTATGCTAGAGAGTTGGAGCGGATTGTGTAAGGATAGATAGCTGTCTTCAGACACAAAACTCCGACTTGGAACTGTTTCATTTGAGAATACAACTTTCAATTTCTGTCTTTTGTAGTTCAATTTGGTCACTCTAGCGGCCTACATTATCAGCATTTCTCTCTTGGTCTGTAATGCTCTTCAGTATATTTTACTCTTTATTTCACAATTTGACATCATGTTGTCAAATGAACCTTTACAGTGACCTTTTTCTTTTCTTTCCAAATGAACCCACCACGATGGCATCCATATTAGGAATATTGACAATACAATTGTTTGAGCATTGTTCTTCTGGGTTAGGGCAGAACTAGAAATAAGGAGAGTGATTAGGGACAACCAGTGGGATCTCATGATATGAACGCCATAATTGACTAAACTGCATGCCCCAAGTTGTCCGGCAGTTCGTGCACGAGCATATGCCCGCGGCAATCAGGAGCCAGGTATGTCAAGGAAAAAGCTTATACTGAATGAGTCTGATCTCTGATGCCACTACGGGTCCGAGTGTTCCTTTCTCTCTTTTGAGACTAGTCATGGATTGATGGATGCCGTATTCGAATTCGAGATCTGACTCCTGCTGTTTGGATAGATCAAAATCAAACTTCAATACGTTTGCGTAGGCATTATGGGTTGAACATGAATTCAATGTTACGATGTAATTGTTTTCCAGTGGGTATAATAGCGTCTTCTAGCCATTTGATCAAGCAAGAGGCCAAAGAACTGAAGGGTAATTGAATAATGGCTGTTGAATTGTGAGGACCAGTCACAAAAAAGCCCTACAATACCAATTCAAACTACAGATAGCGAGTCCTCAACTAGAGTTAATTATAAATTAGTCCCTTTAGTTTTAAGAAACAATTTAATTAGTCTTTTTATTTTTAAAAATAATTATTTAATTCTTTGATAGGTGTTTATTACATTTTTATTCTATAAAATGTTTTTTCTTCTCATCAATTTTTTTATGATATCAATTTATTTTCCCTTTTTTCTATTTAAAAAAAACATAAAATGAATAAAAAAATACTTAGTTTTTTGAAAAAAAAAACACTAATTAATTGGTTTCTCAAAACTAAAAGGGCTAGTTTATAATTTAATCCCTTCGCTGCTCCTACCGATAATATAGGTCACTAGCCAGTATCTTAATAATCCCGCTGTCTTTCTTAATTTCATATAAATTGGTTTTAAGGAGGTTGCAGGAAATGATTTTTGTTATCTTATTATTTTGTAAATGTCATATTGATATAGATATGAACGATCTTTCTGAATTGATTGAAAGATTGTCCCCTCAACTCACCAAAAGAATGCAACACCTTACCTCAGAATATTATGCCTATTATACATATACTGAAATGTGTTTTTATTGTCGCCAAGGTCCTACCATAGTGAAACCAAAACGGTGCCGTTTTGGGTCTTTTTTACTCAAAACGACGTAGTTTTCCTAAAAAAATATTAAGTATTTTTTGTCAATTTTCAAGATTTTACACTTTAATCCTCTTAGTTATTACTTGATATCAAACAGTTCCTAATTTTCATTAATATCACAAAAGGTCCTTATAATATTTTCTGCCGGACTGGTTTTTTTTCATTAATTATTATTTAATTAAAATAAAATTTTCCCATGATTAATGGTTATAAATATTCATTAACTAAAATTAAATATTCTTCTAATATAAATTGATTAAGCACCTCATTCTAATTTGATTTTTTTTCAAATAAATAATTAATTACTTGTATTTTTTATTTATCAAAATAAAAAAGACTCCTAAGATATATTTAAATTCAATTATATATATATATATATATATATATGAAATTACATAATTTTTTTTATAATAAGTGTTAATTAATTTTTATTTTATGTTTATAGTTTTAAATTATTTAAAATATTAAAATATAAATATAATAGACTTACCCGTAACAACACGAGAGTATTGGGCTAGTGATTACTGTTACAATGTATCTTTGTCGAATCTGTTTAGTGGAGCTAAATTTTTTAATCCAAGCGTAATCCACTAATCCGGCAACAAAAAGTAGAAAGCTTATGATGCTTTTATCGAAAATGACAGCAACTAAAGAAATACTACAGCTTCAGGAAAAAGAATTCACTGACATTACTAGTACTGTTGCTTTGTTTGTTCCATGTAGGAATTCCACGTTTTCTAGCTAAATCTCCCATGTCTTTATATGGATGGTATGCGGTGCACGTGTTAATTTCCCTGTGCTTGGATTGTCGATTACTGTCGAATTCTAAGGTAATATAGTCATTAGGGCACATTTAGAAGAAAATAACAGTGTTATTTCTCTTATTAATTGATTGCACAGCGATGGATAGAAAAGGAGGGCCAAAGAGAAAAGAAATTAATACTCCGTAAAGACCTATGCAACATGCATGTATAAAAAACTGCTACACTACTTCCTGATTAAATGTTACAGGTGAGTTTGTTCTTTGTTACTTAAATATCGTTGATTTTTATTTACGGTTGAGACTCAAGAGTCATTGAGAAGTTGTATCAAATGGGTTGTTTTTTAGTCATAACTCCATACCTAAACGTGATGAGCATTTGCATGCTTCATACCAACTCCATCTACGATTGTAATCTCCTACGTAAGGTGTCATTGGTCCATTGGCTCGTGAGAACAAAAAAAGAAAAAAATCATCATAAAATATAAATGTAAACGAATGACTTTATTTAAGAGTCGACTGGATTTTCTTCTCATTTCGATATGAGAAATTAAGTAAGCCGTTAGATGATGTGGTAGTTAACTTGTTATCCCATTAAATGATGCAACTAAAACTTGATTTTACTCAATGTTGATGTGTGTCCTAAATGTGAAAACACCATATGGCTTGACTCTTGCAAATAAAAAAGCATTCCTAGCTAACAGCAGAGAAAATAAATCAGTTTTCTTTGCAAAATGTTGGCTTTTGCTTTCAATAATAAACAAGTTCAACTTTAAATCAATAAATAAATAAATAAAAACAAACTCATAAGATTCTCTTTCCTCCTTCTTTTCCTTACGTAGATTTCTGTCTCTTTCAATAATAATTGTCCTCTCTCTCTCTTACTCTCATGCAGGCACAATTATGTATTATCTTATAAGCCAATAATTTCACCATCATCTTTTGTTTTTAGTTGAAACTAAGTCAAGAGACTTCATTATATATATATATATATATATATGTTAGAGAAATGAAGACCCTTTACTTCGTTTTCAGTGTTTTCGAGTATTTGGATATCTATAAGGAATAGCGACTTCAAATGGAAGGTGGGTTTGGGATTGAATTTGCAGCTCTAGATTAATTAGGAACAAAGAAGGCTAGGTTAGCTCTCTGTCTCATTCTCTTATGATTTACGTTTTCTGTTATCCTGTCATTTTATATGTCATTTCTGCTTGATTCTCCAATAAACTTTTGAAAAATCTCATGTTCTACGTTGTTTATGTTTTTTTATAGAATATAAAAAACTCAAACTTACCTATGTGATTATACCTGCTGAAGTACCATGTTGCCTGGAATAGTAGAAGAATTCAATGACTGTTACCTTTTTTAGGACTATAGGGATCAATATCTAACTGGAAATATCAATACGGAGAGTTTCTGGGTTTCTATATGGCTTTAAGTCTTTGAAATATATTTCCTCTGATTATCATCCTCTCTGATGATTGGTTCGTAAGCCAGAATTGGAAAAAGTAGTAGAAAACAAAGTTTTCAAGCTGTTAACTCATATTGATTAGTTTCAGAATCACAGTCCTCAACTCCACTAAGCTAAATGGTACTATGTTGTATGTTGAGATGATTAAGAATTTTGTTTGCTCAGATTCCAGGAAATTATTTAATTTCAGACTCTAAATTATTGGTTTCTCTTTGTTCAGCCTGTTTCCATTTGAGTGCTGTGGAATCATTAGTTGGAAATGTTTTCTGTCACTTCTAATTTCTATCTCTGTAGCTATACGGTACACTCTTGTTTAAGAGTTAAGCCAAGGTGATGCTGTGGTGGTGGCATTTTCATGAGTGGTAGGTCTTAAATGTTGACGTGGTTTTGAATAATTTGGCAGTTACAAAGAGCCAGGCTTTATTGTCATGGATAGCAAGACCTCATCCTCTTCAGTAAATGGTCCTCAAGAACCTTCCAATCATGATGAACTTTTGATGCAGCAGAGCTTGCTCTTTTCTGATACTCTCAAGGTATGTCACTCTTATAGAATTCTTCTCACTAGACTCCATGCTGCAGGACGACTCCAGTGGTTACTAGAAATTCAGGGATAATTGGAGAAGTTATTACTTCAATTTTGAAAAGGAAAGTTTGTTTTCTTTGATCAGGACTTGAAGAACCTTAGGAAGCAGCTATACTCAGCAGCAGATTATTTTGAATTAGCTTACTACAAAGAAGACCAGAAACAACTGTGAGTCGATTTTTCAATCCGTTATAAATTCCATGATTGTGACATAGTATGGTAATGGTCCCCTGCCACTGGCTTTGTCTCAATGCAGAGTGGTGGAGACCTTGAAAGATTATGCCATCAAAGCGTTGATCAATACAGTTGACCACTTGGGTTCTGTAGCGTACAAAGTTAACAGGTTTTTAGATCAAAAGACTGGGGAAGTTTCAGAGGTGGATCTTCGATTCTCATGCATCGAACAGGTATTCAATCCTTTCCTCCTCTTAATCCTTCATCTTACGTTCTTGAATACGAGTAAGATTTGGGACATTTCTGAAACGTAATCACAGCACACTCGTGAAATCATTTGTTATAATGAAATTATTTTTGCCTTTCTTGGAGAAGTCACTTTCTACACATGAATTTAAATCATGTCAGACTGTCTGAGACTGAGACTTCAATACTTTAACCTTTTTCTGTGGCATGGCCCCAGAGAATGGAAGCATGTCAAGAATATATCAACCAAGGTGGCCTTTCTCAACAGTCTTCGGTAATAAAAACTCCCAAGCACCACAAGCGGTACATTTTTCCAGGCAAATATTTTCATCTCTCCTGTTTTCCTTTTGCATTTTTCCTACCATGTCAAAAAAATTTGAATTTTTTTCCTAATATGTCAGAAGATTTTTCTGACACTGATAGTTTCTGTTCAGCTGAAGAGGAGACCATGGATGCATCTAGCCATACTAAATCAAATTATCACAGTAGAAGCTTTAGTACTGAACACAACTTGCTTGAGTTCAAAAATGGTATGATACTTCCACTCCTGATGCTTCAGAATATGCTTAAAACAAATCAATCAAATAACGATTTTTTATGATCTAAAAAACCTCTTTCAAACTCATTTATTGTTTCTTGATGTCATTGTTCTGCCAAGGTGCTCAAGCAACAATCAAAGGAACCACTTCCTCTTTCTTCAGGTAATCCTAATGACATATATGTCATTATTTTGACCATTTTACTATGCCTGTTTCAACATGACGAAGAACATCAATGGATAATTTTAATGCAGCGAAAGGCATTCTAAATTACGGTCTCCGCAATTCTACTCAAGACAAGGAACATTTACGTTCACAAGGACTTCAACCAACAACAAACCTGGTTTGTGAAAATGGATTCTTCTTATTTTGCTTCTTATGTAGAGAAAGTTGCAGTGCACAGTAGGGATTGATCAGTGTGCCATAACATAATTTTCTCTCTCCTTTTTAATCAGAGAAAAGATCACCCTCTCCGCAACGCTTTCCGCTCATACGTTCTGGATCTCTCCTAAAGAGACCAATATCTCCAAATTATGCTAATGCGCGACGAAGGGTAAGCTGTTGCATTACAAAGAATATGGAATAACTAATGAGATTAGGCTGTCAAAAATCCTAGACAGCGAATAGTCATGACTTCAAAGTTGTTAAACTGTGGGTGCTTAAACCTGAATTAATCCTGAAGCTGAACTAAACATACTTTTTTCTCTCAATTCCTTACATTTCAGTGTCCATCGGAGCCTCGGAGATCAATTTCATTGTCCATGTATTCAGAAAGAGATAAGGCCAAAGACAGTGATCAACAAATTTCTGCCAAGAGCAAACGCCTGGTTAAGGCCTTGCTCAGCATGCGCAAATCAAGAAAGGAAGGCTCCCTGTATAAATACTTGGATGAGATTTGAAACTCCAAATTAAATGGAGATCAGGCATGATAGGAAACAATGTACTATTTGCAGTTTCTGGTTGATAATTTGTATCCAGTTTTTGGTTTAAGATTCAGTTTCTCAATGGCAATGTAGGGGATTTCAATATAAGCCCAAATTCAAATTCATAATCTGGATGCTATTATGCGATTGATAATCATCACCAACAGAATCAATATTACTTGGATAACTTTTTTTTTTTCCCTTTGGTTGGAGTCAAAAGTCATCAACCCATTAGAGGCAAATAAAATAAACATCATTTTTTTTAAGGCTTAATGTACCCAAAAAAGAAAAAAAACACACTTTACTCTTTTTTAATTCTATTAGCATGTTCTTTTAATGTTAAACAGAAAAGACACACATTAAGATTTTGTTAACCATATTAGCAAGTATTAATTTTTTCATCCTAAATTATGTTATCAACTGATGTGGCAGGATAGATAGAGTGACAACAAAGACTAAATGCCACGTAGGATCTAACATGACTTAGTTAACAATTATCCTTTTCAAGTCAGACGACATGTACCCAATTATCTTCTTTCAAATCCTAAAAACTCCCGAACCCTAACCTAATTGAAATCCTAAAAATCATCCGAGTTTGCACCCTCCTCTTCCCCATCTCCTCTTCATCCTAACAGGAATTGCAACAAAAGATTTACTACCCACACTACCATTACAAGGAGCATTAATCCTCACAGCGGCCTCAGTTAATATATCCAAAGGATCAAAAAAAGGTTCGCCCGAGACTACGAATTTGAATGGGCTAACGGTGGGTTGTGATGTTTCGGACAGAGTTTGAGTGGTTGACAATAAGGTTTGGTCGATTGTTTGTGGAGTGTTTGGGCAGTGTCCATTAGAGAGAAGATGTCGGTTGTTGATATTAGAAGAGTGAGGCTAGTCGAGGCTATGGTAAAAGAGAGTGATGGTTTGAGACGTCGTTGAAGTGGAGGACAATGAGACTTTTAGAGCAACCGTGGGCAGTTTCTCAATAGACATGGATAAGGGGTTGTGGGTCGTCGTTGAGGTGGAAGAGAGTGGGGGTTTTAAATGACGTTTCGAGAGGGGATGTGGGCCATCGCTGTGGTGGAAGAGTGTAGAGGTTTGAACTGCATGGATGAGGGTGGAGTTGAGTGGCGATGGTTGGGGCTTTTGGAACGACAATTAAAGGCTGTGGGAGAGACAATTGGTTCGGCTGGAGTTTTGTGAGAGAGTGGGATACTTGTGAAATATGCCATGTGGAATTTCACGTGGCATTTAGTTTTTACCATCACTCTATATATCCCATCACATTAGCTGATAATAGAATTTTAGATGAAAAATTAACACGTATTAATATGGTTAACATAAATTTATTTATATTTTTTCTATTCAATATTAAAAAAATGTGATAATATGATTAAAAAAATATAAAGTTGGTTTTTTTTTTCACATTAAGCTTTGCTTTAATAGTAAAGAAAAACACAAAATCATAAAAAAAAAAAAAAACTACAAGGCTGCATTACATCATATATAAGAATCAATTTTTAAAAAAGAAAATTTCTTTAAAAGCTTTGTTAGTTACAAATTCGAGGAACTCTTTTCTAAGAATGGTTAAATACAAGTTTATTTGAGTGGTGTATTTAGCTAAACATACCAATATCTTCTCTTCCTTTCATGATATCCATTATATATGTATCTATTGGAATATATATGGTGGCATATTAGTGATTATATGGCAAATGGAGGTTAGTTAGTAAAGTTAGTTAATTTGAGTTGTTAGTGGATTAGTTAATCGTTAGAGAGAGTTTGTAGCTAAAGTTGGTATAAAAGCTCTCTCTCTCTCTCTCTCGGCGATTGAAATGTAACAAACAAAAACAATAGAAAAATTAGAATTTCTTGACTCTAAATAAATACGAGCATTTTGCCCTAATTTCTCCTCTTCTTATTTCTCTTCTCTTGCAAATACTTGGTTTTGGATTTTTACATGATATCGAGCAAAATGATATATGATTCTACATTGTGATTATAACAAATGAGAATGGTGATGCCTCGGAATTTTTTGTAATAGCTTCCAATCCTTTATAGTTGTTGAGCTCGAATGTACACGGAACTTATGAACTAGCATTTGATAGGAGCTTCGAATTACATTCCATGACATAGATATATGAAAATTGCTCTCACTTATAAGAACAAGCTTAGATTTGTCAATTGTGCTTATTCCGAAACCAAAAGAATGAGATCTAAATCTTCCACGGTGGGAATAGGTTAATACTATGGTGATTTCTTGGCTATTTAGTGTTGTTTTTAAAGAAATTGGAAAATCTATACTCCATGGTAGTATCGTTACGGCAATTATGTGGTTAGATTTGCAAAAACGAGTTTTCGAATAATGCTTGGTTTTAATGGTTTATGACTCGAAAAGGCAATTTTATCCTATAATCAAGAAAATATGAATATTGAAACATATTACACTAAACTCAAACAACTAAAGGATGAATTAGAAGCCATGACTCATATTCTAATATGCGGGGCAAATGTTCACTGTGAAGTAATGAAGGCATGAGAAGAACATAAGGATGAATAGAAGCTAATGAAATTTTTGATGGATCGAATGATGGTTTCAAACTCGTTAGAGTTCAAATTTTGCTAACGAAGCCTTTGCCATGTATGAAAGATGCCTATTTTATGGTTCAACAAGAGGAAAAACAAATAATAATTTCACAATTTATGCCGATGAAGGATGTAACAGTTTGCTCTTATGACTACGAATAACATGAGTCAAAATCGAAGGAGTCGGGTGTGGAATACAAATATCAAAAAGAATATATGGTGTGAATATTGTCAAATGTTAAGACATGTAAAGGCTAAATGTTTCAAGCTCTATGGATATCTACCTAATTACAAAATGAAATAGAGGAGAAATATTGTAATTGTTCAAAGAAATCCACGAAGGTTCAAAGTCACGGTGTTGAATATGGTGAACGGATGAATTCTAATAATCGACCTAGCAGTTTGTTTCTAAAAAGGTCAAACAATAGATATGTAGGTGCTTGGAAGTACTCTAATGTCTCAAGACACCAATGTCAACGTTGCTCTTCATCCTAATCACTAGTTTACTCTTGACCAAATGAATCGATTACTTTAACTCCTTGTTCAAAAGAATTCACATAAGTTAGATGATTGGATTATTAACAATGGTGTCACTAATCATATCATGAATTGTTTCTCTTTTTTAGAATCACTTATAAAACTATCCAATCCTCACTTAGTTCATTTGCTAGATGGCTCAACTACATATGTAACACACATAAGAACTGTTTCTATACACCCTAATATCACTCGCATAATATCCTGTTTGTTTCAAATTTTAAACATAACATTTTATCTATTAGTAAACTCATCGGAGATTCGATTGCATCATTACTTTCAATTCTAATTCTTGTCATATACGGGGCCATGTGCGGAAGATATTTATAGAGATTGGTAGACAAATAGATAGATTGTCTTGTCTTAGTTTTGTCAATAAGACACGTAGGTCAAAACTTTAATTTTTAGCAATTGTTCAAATTCATGCCACGAATTCTTTAGATAACTTTGTTTTATGGCATCATATATTAGGTCATGCTTCTTTCAATAAACGTCGACATCTTGTCTCTATTATTCTAGGATTACATGATGTAAACACATAAATTGTAATATCTATCCCTTGGCTAAAAGGTCCAGATTACCTTTTAATAAAAGTGATATTTCTTCTTTCACGACCTTATATATTGTCTACTCGTAATGTTTAGGGGCCATCTAAAGTTCTAACACATCAAGATTTTTGTTATTTTCCGATAATTATTGATGATTTCACTACAAATACTTAGACTTATTTGATGGTTTCTAAAAGTGAAGTTCTTTGTTGCGGTATTTCTTTAGTCTTATTCAAAATCACTTTCATAGCTTCATTAAGATCATTAAAACTAACGATCGTTCAAAATTTATTAACTAAACCTTGAAATCTTTCTTTCTTGATCATGACATTATCCACCATAATAGTTGTGTTCATACTCCACAACAAAATGACATCTCCGAAAGGAAACATAGATGTGCTCTTAAAGTAGCTAGAGCTTTGATATTTCAAACTTTATTACCTATCTAATTTTGAGGGGAATGTGTGTTGACTCGTCACTCATCTTATTAACAAAATTCACTCATCTTATTAACAAAATTCCTTCCTCTCGTTCTTCATAACAAATCCCCTTTTGAATTTCTCTTTCAATCTCCACCCGAGTTATGAACATTTAAGAATTTTTAGGTGTCTATGTTTTGTTTCCACCATTGCTCATAACGAGGACAAGTTTGGTCCTCGAACCATCCCATATGTCTTCACTCGCTTATCCACATGGTCAAAAAGGTTACAAGGTTTATGATCTAGAAACTCATAAAATATTTATCAATCATGATGTTAGATTTGTTGAATCTATCTTTCCTTTTTCAACTTTCATTGAGTCTTCGACTACTACTCTTTCTTTTCCCTCTAACCTTAGTGAATTTGCTATTCACTCAAAGATATGTGATGATATCCTCTTGCCTCCTAATTAGATTAAGTATTATGCTCCTATTTCTTTCTCTCATTTTGATCCTTCTCTAGTATCCTCTCATCTTAACTCTTCTCTTTCAACTCATGTATCTTGCAAGTCGGATAGATAAAGAGTTCCTCATATATGGTAGAAGGATTATATTTGTTCCTCCCATTTGTCCACCACACCACCTGTTCACGCATATAAGCTTCCATAAACAAACTGTATATATCCCATGTCTAATTTCATTTCCCTTCATTCTACTCCTCATTCATATCATCATCTTGCACTTAATGTTAAAACACATAAAGAACCCGTCTCTTACTCAAAAGCTTATTAGAATTCGAAATGGAGAAAAGCAATGACGTTAGATGATAGCCACACTTGGTTTATCACCGATCTACCCTCCGAAAAGCAAGTTGCTAGAAGTAAGTGGGTGTATAAGGTGACATATAAGGTTAATGTGTTTGTGGAAAGATACAAGGCACATTTAGTGGCAAAAAGGTACACACAAATTGAGGATCTTGATTACAAGATACTTTTGCTCTTGTGGCAAACATGACAATAGTCAAGACTCTTTTAGATATAACAGTGCCAAGGGCTAGACTTTAGCTTAATTGAATGTTAATAATGTTTTTTTGCATTGAGATTTGAATGAGGAGGTATTTATGAAACTACCTCCGGGTTTTGTTGTAACGGGAGTAGGGAATCAACTTCGTTTGCATGTTGGTGAGGTCTTTGTATGGACTCGAGCGGGTTTCTAGACGGTGGTTTTACAATTTTTCACCCACTTTAATTTCAGCATGCTTTACTCGGTCTCAATGTGATCATTCTTTGTTTATTGAAATGATGGGAGTCGGTTTATTGCCTTGTTGGTTTATGTTGATGCTATGGTGCTCATAAGGACTAATAAGATTATTGACGAGTTTGAAGAGGATGTTGGATCGAAATTCAAAATCAAAGATCTAGGAGACTTGACATATTTCTTAGGCATTAAGGTTCTTGGGAATACGAATGGAGTTTATCTCGGTTACAAGTTGCTTATTTGTTTACCAAAGCTCTTGAAAAAACTCAACTACAATCTTTCCTTGACAAGTTGGGTATTTGCAACTCGTTGCAAACTCCCATTTGATAAGGGATGTTGAAATATATAAGGTGACATGTTAGTGATTATATGGCTAATGGAGTTTAGTTAGTAAAGTTGGTTAATTTAAGTTGTTAATAGATTAGTTAACCGATAGAGAGAGTTAGTTAATAGCTAATGTTGGTATAAAAGCTCTCTCTCTCTCTCTCTCTCTCTCTCTCTCTCTCTCTCTCTCTCTTAGTAACTGAAATGTAACAAACAAAAACAATAGAAAAAAATAAATACGAGCATTTTGTCCTAATTTCTCCTCTTCTTATTTCTCTTCTTCGCAAATACTTGGTTCTAGATTTTTATAGTATCATTTGCATGATGATAGTATAAATGATTTATAACAATATAATTACAAAAGATGTAAGTAATTAATTTTAAATCTCATTATGTTAATAAAATAAATTATTAAATTAGAAGTTGGAGGAAAGTAATTTCAAATATAAAAAATTGGCAAATCAAACTTTGTAAATTTGTTAACAGTTGGTTAGGTATAGGTTTTAGTAGATTTTGCTAGTAAAATATTAAAGAGTTTCCAACAATTGAAGAGAGGAATGTAAATTTAATTTGTGATCAAATATTATACTTTATAAATAAGTGAAGGTAATTATATTTTTTATGAATTTATAGGATATTAATATTTTTTTAATTGCTAAAAAATTGTTTTCGTATGAAATTAAGTATAGACATTCAAAGATAATTTTATAAATAATTGAATTGTTATTTTATATTAATAGATAAAAGGTAAATAGAGTTAATATCCACTATTTTTTCATAATAATTTTAAAAAATAAATAAAATTGTTATAGAGCCTAAACTATTTTAATTAGCACGCATGCACTATTTTATTCTATAAAAAAAAATTCCATATAAAGAAATATGTTTATTTATTTAGTTGTGCGTTGCAATTTATTATAAAAAAAAAAATAGTCTTAGGTGGCATAAGTAAGATTATCATTAATTCTATTGGTCAGATTAGAGAGTTAAATTTAGTTTTAGTATACAAAAATTTATGAAAGGATTTCCTGACTTAATATATATATATATTAGATGCGGTTGAAATTCATTATAAGAAATAATTTATATTTTTAAATTGAAAAATAAATAGAGTGATGAAACGCGTGTAATATTTATTTTTCAAAAAAAAAAACAATTGGTTACTTGTTAGTTTTTTATACACCAAACAGAGTCTTACGTTACAAATCAGCAGCCATCCCGGCGTCACCCCTAAAAAAAAAAGAAAAAAAAAAGAAAACCCGACTCAAAACATCGACTTTAACCTCGAAGATTAACTGCGATTCCCCGTTCCTTTAAAACTCCGTTTATGAGACACGGCGGGTTGATTTATGCACTCAGTTTGTACTCAATAGCAAAAAGATACTAGCTTTTTCGGCCTTTGAGGCAGCAATAGACATGGATATCAATAATCAAGATCTGGGTTTATTAGAGCGATAGTAAAGGTCTTGACTTGATCCAGTTTCAGCTCGAAAAGTGAGTTATTTTTTTGGTTCTTTTATCAATTTGCTCAACTGGGTTTTTGCTTTTTATGCTGGATTTTTTTTTTTTTTATAGCTTTTTTGTTGACCATTCAATATTGACTGAGTTGTGGCTTTGGTTTGTGGGATTAAATTTGTGTGTTTTAAACTATAGAATGAGGTTTTTTCTTTGCTCTTTTTAGTATTATTACTAGTTACGAACTGCAAAGTTAAGTGTCTTTAATGGATTTGTTTCTAAAGATTGGATGTATTGGATTTTTTTTTTTTTTTTGGTAGAGTTTGTTATTGTAAAATCGAAGACTTAGTAGGAGGCTGGTCTTTCCTGTTAATCCTTGTACTGTATGTTTAATCCTGGTTTGGGTCGGGAAAACTCACATGTTCATTCTATTTTGAATTTCTGCAGTTGGAAGCCTGGAAATCTCTTTTACTGATGATCGTAGGTGTTTCAATGCCCTTGTAAATTTTGTTTGGTTAAGTTTTTCCCTTTTTAGATTTTGTTGTCTATAGTAGAAGGGGAAGATTTATATACGTTGCCTGGTGAGAGCTTGTGTATTATGATGCCTTGAAGATTTTTTGTTTGTGTTATTTTGTTAAAATGACAATATTATTTCCACTGACATCCTGTTGCATCTTACTTCGATTCATAAGAATGAAATGAGAGAGGGGGAAGGGGATCCTGGACATAGTATTTGAGTAGTGGTTGGATAGGAAGAGATTCACTGAGATTTGAACGCTTTGCAAATGCTTTATCGTTGTGAAATTTATTTCTAGAAATCTCTTATTGAATTAATATTTGCAGAACAAGGCTTTTGAACATGCAGCTATAAAGAAAATGTCAACATCTTCAATCTATAATCTATTCATATTTCCAAAAATTTCAATATACTTTTCTTATCTTCTTAATAATTTCCTTAATGGACAGGAAGCCGTTGCCTTTTAACTTCAGGGGATCTACAACTACAAGCTTTTCAGAGTATCTGCAACATTAAGCTGTTGCAGGAAACAGGTTTACCCTTTCCTTTTCAATCTCAGTGCCAATGCGGCAACCTTGGTTGTGAGGACAGACAGTCAAAGCTGTTTTGCAACCATGGGAGATGTCCACAATAGAAGCAACAGCAACAATGAGAAGCCAGAGTGGCTGCAACAGTACAATCTTATTGGCAAGATTGGTGAAGGCACTTATGGTCTTGTATTCCTAGCAAAAACAAAGTCTCCTGCAAACCGTGGAAAGTCTATTGCCATCAAGAAATTCAAGCAGTCCAAGGATGGTGATGGGGTCTCTCCCACTGCTATCCGTGAAATCATGTTACTTAGGGAAATTACCCATGAGAACGTCGTGAAGCTTGTGAATGTGCACATCAATCATGCTGACATGTCACTGTATCTGGCTTTTGATTATGCCGAGCATGATCTTTATGAAATAATCAGGCATCATAGAGACAAGGGTAACAATATGATCAATCAGTACACTGTTAAATCATTGCTCTGGCAGCTACTCAATGGACTGAACTATCTGCACAGTAACTGGATCATACATCGAGATCTGAAGCCGTCAAATATCTTAGTTATGGGTGATGGAGAGGAACACGGTGTTGTCAAAATTGCTGATTTTGGACTTGCAAGAATATATCAAGCTCCATTGAAGGCATTGTCTGATAATGGTGTTGTGGTAACCATTTGGTATCGTGCACCTGAGTTGCTTCTTGGGGCTAAGCACTACACAAGTGCTGTTGACATGTGGGCTGTTGGATGCATTTTTGCAGAACTTTTGACTTTGAAGCCACTTTTTCAAGGGGCAGAAGCCAAATCGATACCAAATCCTTTCCAGCTCGATCAACTTGACAAGATATTTAAGGTTTTAGGCCATCCTACACTAGAAAAATGGCCAACGCTTGCAAGTCTTCCACACTGGCATAATGACATGCAGCATATCCAAGGGCACAAGTATGAAAACACTGGATTACATAGTGTTGTGCCTCTCTCTCCAAAAAGTGCTGCATTTGACCTTCTATCTAAGATGCTCGAATATGATCCTCGAAAGCGTATAACAGCTGCACAAGCTCTTGAGCATGATTATTTTCGAAGTGAACCTCTACCTGGACGGAATGCCTTGGTTCCCTCTCAACCTGGAGAGAAAGTCATCAATTATCCTATTCGTCCAGTAGATACAAATACAGATTTTGAAGGAACAACTAGCCTTCAACCTCCACAACCAGTATCATCTGGAAATGCGGTTTCTGGAGGCATGCCTGGTGCTCATGGAGTTAACAACAGATCTGCACCTCGACCAATCCCTATTGGCATGCAGAGAATGCAACATCAGGGCATGGCGGCATATAATCTCGCATCTCAGGCAGGGATGGGTGGTGGAATGAATCCTGGTAACATCCCTATGCCACGTGGTGTTGCCCAGCCCCATCAGCAGCATCACCTGAGAAGGAAAGACCCACCAGGAATGGGGACTGGATACCCTCCCCAACAAAAATCAAGACGCTAATTGGCTAATGGCTTCTAGACAGACTAACGGTCATTCTTTTTCACTTCTACGGTAACCTTGTCTTTGTGGATGAAGGGCCCATCTAAGGGCATCCAAGAACACATCCAATTGAAGTAGAAATTGGACTTGTGCCATGTATGGGACAATTGCTGCATGGTAGACCTTTACAGTTCATATATGCTCAGGAAGATAATAGCTCCATTGCATGTCTCATCAGGGGATTCTGAGTTTACATGCCCAATTTGCAATATAATCTTGTGAGGGGCATGTTCAAAGGAAGAAAGCAGTAGTTGTATTGTATTGTGTTGCTTTTAAAGCAGAACACAGAAGTGTAACATTGTTTAGTTCAAGACTACTAGCACCTCAGTCTTAAATGAGAGTGTATTTCCACAGGAGATAAAAGAGGTGGATGTGATCCACTTTTTTGATATCAAGATCTTACCAAAAGTCAGCTTATGAAAGCTAACGTTGGGTTTGCAATTCATTGAGTAAATTCTGGCTGATACGCGTGCATAAGTTATTCTACATGGCTGAACAAATTGCTCAAGTTATATATATTTTCTAGCCATTTCAGGATATCCTTTGTCGGTACTGGCGCAAGGCATTTTGTTTCTCAAATGCTAGATATGTGCTTGTTCTTGGTTTTCTTGGTCCATTTCTAGAATGTGACATCACCCTGTAAACCACTCTGGGTTTTGGTCACCTAACTCACGATTGCCTTCAATTATTCTTTTCTCGATTTTCCTTATTATATTAGTTTAATGATAAATTTTGTTTCTATTTTATTATGATTTGATAATTTTAGACACTTAGTATTAAATTGCATAGTTTGAACTCAAAATTATTGGTTTTTAAGCAAAATTGATACAATTTTACTAGTTGTCGATATATGTAATGGTTAATTAGGTTAATTGTTATTTGAAATGTCAAAACGATATTGTTTTGGCATTTCGTTATTAATTATTTAAAAAAAATTAAAAAATATTTTTAACCGCTCTAATCTTGAATTTTTTTTGAAAAAAAATTCTTATAAAATATATTTAAAAAAATTATTAATATTTTTAACCTCTCTAATCTTGAATTTTTTTAAAAAAAATTATAAAATATTATAAACATTTTATAAAAAATATTTTTTAAAATTTATAAAATTAAAGGGGTCGATCCTAAATTATGCTCATTTTTAATTTATAAATTTTTTTAAAGGCTTGAAATTGTGTATTGTTAATTATGTTTTTTACAATATTTTTATAAAATGTTTATAATATTCAATGAGCATTAAAATATTTATAATATCAATTATAATATTTTATAAATTAAAATTATAAAAAAAACATTTTTTACAAAATGTTTATAATATTTATATTTTTTTTTGAAAAAAAGTTCAAAGTTAGGGGTGTTAAAAATATTTAAAAATATATATATATAATTTATAAAATGTTTATAAGAAAAAAGTTTTTTTTTAAAAGTTCAAGATTATAGAGGTTAAAAATATTTTTTTAAAAAAAATAATTAGTAGCAAAATGTTAAAATGATTCGTTTTGACATTTGAAGTCACGATTAATCTAGTTAATCGTTATATATGATAGCAATTAGAGAAATCGAATCAATATTATTCAAAATTTGATAATTTAGAATTCAAATTACCCAATTTGATACTAATAATCTAAAATTACTAAATTACAATATAATATAGGTAAAATTTGTCATTAAACCCTGTTATATTCATCTCCTTATTTTGGCTTCCCACTTGACCAAAAACAAAAGAAGAAAGTCTCTTAGCTTGTATTAAGAGAAACAGTGGAAACTCTGGTTGGGTAGGATTTTTCGAGCCCAAAAATACTGACGGACTTTACTATTTTGACATTGGCAAATCCAGTCCATAGGCATCTCATTTCACAATAAGATATTTCGATGCCATAACCAATCTTCGGCCATCTATCTTGAGAACCACTAGGCTGTCGCGCAATATTTACTAATTTGAAGCTCCATCTAATAATTACTAATTGCAATGCAGCCACAGACTCCAGGTGTGTTGACCCTCTAAAAGTAGTAGTAGAACAAGGTCAGTACTGTAATACTATCTTCTACGTACCATATAGTAAGTACTATCACTTTCTTTAGTAATTCAGCTCTTCATTCTGCTAGAGTTTGTGAATCTTGAACAGCTTTCTAAAGGATTCTTCATATCGTTTTTTAATTGTCTATTCTATCGATTAGTTTAGTTGACCCAAACCATTAAGCCAGCTTATAGCTGAATTATTTTTCTAATCGAGTATATACTTTGTTACTAGTTGACCCTCAAGTGTTGGAATACAGATGGCATCGGATATTTCTGTATAATTAATTATGTGCATTGTATTTGAATGATCTCCAGCTACGACATCAACTACTTTTTATTTATTTTTTATAAGGTAGTCGGCCTTTTGGACCGAGAGATGATTCTTTTAACGAAAGATCAATAACGAATTATGAGGTTGGGATTAATCCATCAATTTTGATTTGCTTGATTGATGGCTTCCTAGTTATGGCTGCGCCGACATGTAATCCAGTATGGATTTCCTGTCAGCGTACAATATGATCACTTTCTCTTACCAAACACAAAAAATTAACAATTATGAGGTTACTAATGATGTTTTTTTTTTTTTTATTCACTATTTGCTTACTTACAATAGTGATTTGACTTTAATTTGTTTTGCTTAAAGGTTCCTCTTCCACTTTAATATGTCTTCTAGACGTAGTCAAGCCACTATAAAAATTAAAGTTGTATGAGAACTAAATAAAAGGTATGCCATTGGATCTTTCCTTTTTTTTTTGGGACGTGGAAGTTTTTTATGACCGACTCTTTATGATGTTTACTGTTTTATTATTTTGTGTGCTTGCCTACATATGTATTGTATGCATATCATTTGGTACAATAATTATGGTTTTTTAAAAAAGATTTTTATGTCTAAATCTAACTGATTTTAGTCTGAAGTTTTAATAGTTAAAAAATAATATATTTTTTTAATTTTTGATCAAATTTTAAAATGATAGAATAATTTTTTTTAAAAAAGAAGATAAATTTATAATTTGATATTTCAAGAGTGACAAACACTTCATCAGTTAATAGAAAAATTCACAAAAATACTTGGTTGATAATTTAAAAAAAACTTAAAATTCATATATTTGATTAAAAAAATAATTAAATTGTAATTTGATATTTTAGAGGTAATAGACATATTATCATTTAATAAAAAAATTGACAAAAAACATTTAATTAGTAATTTTATAAAAGTTAATACATTTAAATAAAAAAATTAAAATTTATATACTTCATTACAAAAAGTTAAATGTTGGTATATTTATAGTGCATATATCCTTTTTCAAAGAGACAGAGACACACAGCCTTGCAGATCAGAGATCAAAATGGATACACATACATCTAGTGATTGCGATGTTTTTCAAGCTTTTCGAGTATTGATACTTGGCTTGCACCCACATAAATAAAACATAAAGAGTGGGAAAACATTGTTGAGGATAATGTTTGGTGATTGTTCACTTTCGTAACCAAAGTTTTTAGCACGAGAATAGCTACAAAATTAAATTTTAAGATGTTGACTTGGATGGTAAATTGATTTGGTTTGCTTCCCACATCATTATCCCTATCAAATTCAAATTCACGGGGAAGTTTTCGAAAAAAAGAAAAAATACATCATATATAAATGCTTTTTCTGATTGAAAAGTAATTTAATTTTGATATAAAAACCGACATAAGAATACTTATATGTATCAAGGCGATTAAAACTATAAAAACTATCACGAAATTAACCTTGATTCGCTTATGAAGTTTGCAGTAAAGCCAGACAAGTAAATATTGGGTGATTAGCGGGATAATTGCATTATAAATAAATAAATTTTTAATTTTTTTCAATTGAGTATATGGATTTAATTTTTTATTTGAGTACATTAATTTTTTCAAAATTATCAATCAAGCATTCTCGTTAATTTTTTAGTTAACTCGATAATATATATGTCACTCTCATAATACTAAATTATAATTTTATCTTTTATTTTTCTCAATCAAGTATGTGAAATTTATTTTTTATTTTTAAAAAAATATATATATTTTTTAAATTATCAATCAAGTATTTACGCTTATTTTTTTGTATACTAATGACGGTTAGAATACGTAATTATAATTTTATTTTATTTTTTGCTGAAGGAAACTTGGTTCTCAAATTATACTACCATTTCAAAATTTGACAAAAAAAATATATATATATTATTTTTTAGCTTTAAAATTCCAAACTAGAGACTTAGTTAAGTTTATTGTTTAAAAAAAAAAAAAAAAACCTCGGTTAGGCTTAAGAGCGAAAATTGAAAGTAAACATAAATGAATCTTCTTAATAAAAAAAAAAACTCTTGTTTGCGTTTATTTCAGTTTTTACGTCCAAAACCTAACCAAGCTTTTACGTCCAAAATTATAATTTAATATTCTGAAAATAAGAAGCGAGTCATCAATTAATAGAAAAATTAATAGAAATACTTGACTAATAGTTTTTTAAAAAGTTTGTATACTCAAATAAAAATAATTAAAATTCATATATTCGATTGATAAAAAAAATTAAAAATTAGTATATTTACAATGTATTATTGTGGTGATTGATAAGCAAGGAAAAAAAAAAAAAAGACAAAATTTTCAAAAAGATTGTAACCATTAAATCATGTATATGAATTTATAATGAGATCCAATAGTGGGTTTCCCTAATCTTATAATTCATGTTTAATTCTTTATCAAATTTTCATTGATTTTCTTAACAGGTGCAAGTGACTAAGGTAAACCTCTTGTCCTGTTTTGCAAGAAAAAACAACGGGAACCCATAAATAGAATGGTGATGAAATCTAGGAGAGAGCAAAACACTACAAAAGAAAGAAAGTAATTCACATTAGATAGAAGAATAACAAAAGAGAATAGTTAGAAAAACCTTAATTAGATGCAAGATTAAGATAAGATAAAATAA